GAGCCTCACAAATTGGACAATCTGTCTTTCTTTAAAAACTTTACCTTAAATCTCTGCTAATAAAAAGCATCTCCCAGTCATTATCTATACTAGCTGCCAAGATATTCTGTAGCCCCTTTGCTTATAAAAATGAGGAGCTGGATCCTTATATTGTGCAAACCAGTCCCCATTTGTAGGCTGGGCACTTGAGGAAGCTGAATTAATTCTTTGGCACCCAGGATACAATTTAGTCTGCACAGGGAGGGACTGTGTGGGATGAAGTTTCTTTGTAATTATGACCCCCCACCCCAATGTGCATTGTGGCATTGTGCATAGCATGAAAGCATCTGGATTTAGAATCTAATGATGGATGCTTGAATGTTAGCCCTGCCATTTAACCACTGTAATCTTGGCAAGTGGCTTCCCATCTCTCTGGCCCTCTGTTTCCTTTTCTAAACGGGGGAGGTTGAGCCAGATCTGGGGTTTTTAACCTAGGGTCCATGAAATTGTTTAAAATACATATATACAAACACACATATGTATTTCAATATAATTGGTTTCCTTTATAATCCTATGTGTTTTATTTTATGCATTCAAACACATTATTCTGAGAAGGGGTGCTTAGGATTCACCAGATTGCAGAAGAGATCTAGGACACCAAAAAGGTTAAGAACCCTTGGGCTAGACAATCTCTGAAGTCCATGCCAGTTTTAAATCCTATCACCCTGCTAACTACTGTGATTAAATGCTCTCCTCCACACATGGTAGGGTCTGTCACTCTTAAGACAAGTTTAAAATATTTATTAAGTATTAGTTAAGAGGGTAGTAAAAAGAATACTGAAATTGGAATCCTAAGGCCTAGATTCCTGTCCTGGATCTGACACTTACTAAATGCATACCCTTGGGCAAGTCATTTAGTTGCTCTTTGAGCCTCAGAATCTTTTTTGCCCATTTTAATTTTTTAATTTTTAAAAATTTATTTAGTATTTTATTTTTCTCCAGTTACATGTAAAAGCAGTTACTTAGCATTTGTTTTTAAAACGTTGAGTTCCAAATTCTCTCCCTTCCTCCTTCCCCCCCTCATTGAGAAGGCAAGCAGTTTGATATAGGTTATACATGTGTAGTCATGCAGAACATATTTCTGTATTAGTCATGTTGTGAAAGAAAATATAGATCAGAAAAAAACTCAAGAAAAAGCAAAAAGGTAAAAAAAAGTATCCTTCAGTCTGTATTCAGACACCATTAGTTCTTTCTCTGGGGATGGATAGCATTTTTCATCATAAGGCCTTCAGAGTTGTCTTGCTGAGAATAGCTAAATCATTCACAGCTAATCATCTTACAGTATTGCTGTTACTTTGTACACAATATATTTCACTTTGCATTAGCTCATTTAAGTCTTTCCAAGTTTTTCTGAGAGCATCCTGCTCATTATTTCTTATAGCACAATAGTATTCCATCACAATCACGTAGCACAATTTGTTCAGCCATTCCCAATTGATAAGCATCCCCTCAATTTCCAGTTCTTTGCCACTGGAAATGAGCTGCTATAAATATTTTTGTACATAAAGGTCTTTTTCCTTTGTGTTTTTTATCTCTTTTTGGATATAGATCTAGTAGTGGCATTGCTAGGTCAAAGGGTATGCATGGTTTTATAGCTTTTGGGGCATAGTTCCAAATTGCTCTAAAGAATGGTTGAATCAGTTCACAACTCCACCAACAATGCATTAGTGTTCCAATTTTCCCACATCCCCTCCAACATTGGTCATTTTCCTTTTCTGTCCTATTAGCCAATCTAATAGGTGTGAGGTAGTACCTCAGAATTGTTTTAATTTGCATTTCTCCAATCAGTAGTGATTTAGAGCATTTTTTCACATGGCTACAAATAGCTTTGATTACTTCATCTGACAACTTCATATCTTTTGGTCATTTATCAGTTGAAGAGTGGCTCTTATTTTTTTATAAATTTGACTCATTTCTCATTAATGAGGTCTGTATCAGAGAAACTTGCTTCAAATTTTTTTTCACAGTTAGGATTGCTAAATATATTTCCCTCCATCCTAGTCTCCCCCCTTTATTCTATTCTCTCTCTTTTCACCGTGTCCCTCCTCAAAAGTGTCTTGCTCTGACTACCCCCCCCATTTGCCCTCCCTTTTATCACACAAACCCCTTCTTTTTTACCCTTCCCCCCCTACTTTCCTGAAAGGTAAGATAGATTTTTATAATCAATTAGCTTCAGAAGTTTTTGCTGCAAAATGAGAATGATACGACTTGAATTATCTACTGCTTAGTTTTGTTGTGAAGAAAGTGTGCCATCAATCTTAAATTGCTACAGATGTATGAATAGTTGAAATGATAGGATTCTAGAGAACTGTTCTGCTGAGGACCCTTGAGTGTCCTAACTCCTAACTTGAGTTAGAACCTGGGGAAATAGAGAACCTGGTCACCTGAAAGAACGAAGACATGACAATTTGTTGGGCTCAGTGCCTGTCAGTCCTCATTGCTCTGCAAATGATTGAAAGTTTGAGTCTAGAAACAGTCTAGACTTTCTGCCCCCAAAGAGTTTATTTGGTTGAATGAAAGGACCCCAAAACAGTGTTTAATGAATGACTCAATATCAACTTGGAGGTCTCTAATGTAGTACCTCCTGAATCTGCCCTTGGCCTAGTTCTTTTCAGTTTTTTTTTCTTAATGACTTTGATAAATGATTAGACCTGCCAATCTAATTTACTGATGATATGAAGTTGGGAGGGATAGCCAGCATGTTGGGTGACAGTCAGAATCCAATAAACATCTCAATAAATAGGCTGAAATAATGGGCTAATAAGATGAAATTTTAATAGAGATTAAGTCCTGCCATTGGAATAAAAAAATACATTTCTCAAGTAGAATGTAGATAAGAGGTAGCTAGATAAGGGCTCATGGGATTGATCAGGGCTTTAACTGGACTACAAACTCAATATGAATCAACACTGTAACATGACAGCTTAAGAAGTTGATTGCATTTTAGAGTGCTTTAAAGAGGAACCCTCTATAAGGTCCAGAACATGAGTGGTGGTAATCCCATTATACCTACCTCAGCAGTATTATGTTTGGTTCTGGGAACCACTACAAGAGGATTGATGAAATGACTGGTCCAGCTGATGAGATTGTGTTTAACCTGGAAAAAAGAAGACTTAGAGGGGACATGATAGGTGTCTTTAATTAATGGAAGGGCTGTTAAGGGGAAGAAGGATTAAATTTGTTCTGTTTAGTGACAGAGGGCAGAACTAGAATACTGTGTGACATTTGCAGATGCCAGTTTTGACTTAAGATCAGGATAAAACTTCCTAATAATTCAAGCTGCCTATGAAAGCGGCTAGGTGGCACAACGGCTAGAGTACTGGGCTTTGAAAGAGGAAGGCCTGGGTTCAAATAAGACACTTCCTAGCTGGACAAGTCACTTAACCTGCTTCTGCCTCAGTTTCTGCATCTGTAAAAAAGGATAATAATAGCACCTATCTCCCATGGTTTTTATAAGGATAAGGTGAAATAATATTTGTGAAGTACTTTCCAGACCTTAAAATGCTAGCTGTTATTAAATGTAATGGAGCTGCCTAAGGAGAGAACGGGTTGTTTTTCTCTGAAGACCTTCGGGTAAAGAGGGCTGGAACACCCTTTACTGGGGAAGTTATAAATTCTTGGGATTTAATCTTTTTTTTAAACTTATTTTGTTTTTAATTCATGGAACAAAACAAGCATTTCCATAGCACAGTCCAATAAAAAATATGAATGCACATGAAACTACAAGTCTGTCATATACAACTTTCTGTTCCCTCCAAATGTGGGTGAAGTAGGGGATAGGAAGGTGGGGGGAGAAGATAAGGTAACAGGGATAGGGTAAAAAGAGAGGCTGAGAAAGAAAATAGTGAGTAAAAATAAAATGGAGGGAAATTGGGATTGAATTTTGATCATATAGGGGTTAGATTAGTGGGTCTCTTCCAAATGGGATGCTATGCATTGCTCGGGATGATAGAAATGTTTTTGTTATGTAAAGCTCAGTGATCTCATTTTTTCCGTGTTTTATAGGCAAGTTTATCAATGCAGTGATGGTGTTTTATAGGAATATGGGAATAGCTGACATTTCTCTAGTACCTGGAGGTTTATGAGGCATTTTCCTCATGATGACCCTGTGAATGTGAGATCTCAGAGTTAGAGCTGGAAAGGACCCGAGAAATGAATTAGTCCAGTTCTCTTATTTTAGAGATGAGGCACTGAGACCCGAAGACCTTAAGTGACTTCCTTTTGTTTCTCGTTTTTTTTTTTGGTTTTTTTTTGGGGGGGGCGGCTAGGCAATGGGGTTAAGTGACTTGCTCAGGGTCACACAGCTAGTAAGTGTCAAGTGTATGAGACCGAATTTGAACTCAGGTCCTCCTGACTCCAAGGCCAGAGATCTATCCATTGCGCCACCTAGCTGCCCCAAGTGACTTCCTTTTAAATGACTTGCCCAAGGTCACACATGTAAGAAGTAGTGATGTGAACCTCAGTCCTCTGACTTTAAATGCAGAATGCTTTTCTTTGTTCTATACAGGAGGTGGAAACATTATTCCCTTTCTACAGATGAGAGAGATATAGTGAGGTGAAGTGACTTCCCTAGTCATTCAGCTAGGAAGTGTCAGGAGTCAGGTTTTGAACTCAGAACTTAGAATGCCAGAACTGGAAAGGAGTTTCGTCTAGCCTACCACTTCCATTTTACAGTTGAGAAAACTGAGGTCCAGAGAGGGAGAATAATTTGACGAAGTCCACACAGCTAATTAATGACATGGCTTAGACTAGAACCCAAAATATTGTTGAGGTTAATGTGTTGAGCTGTGTAATTTCTTGTAAATGAGTTTATGTGCCCTTCAAAATGCACTTTATCCTTCCTACTTACTCTAAAATCTATGATGGTGGGAAAGTCATAGTCAAGGTTTAGTGCTTCAGATTTGGGTCCCTCCAAACTGATAAACTCCCTTTGCTTTGTCCTGCCCCCTTACCCTCTGCAGGTGAACCTGGTACTTGGTGAAGGGAGGTCCCTGGGCCTCATGATAAGAGGAGGAGCAGAGTATGCCTTGGGGATTTATATCACTGGTGTGGATCCAGGGTCTGAAGCAGAAAGCAGTGGTCTCAAGGTGAGAGCTATCCTAACAATCCCATGAGCTTCGGTTTGAGTGGGGAGAGATGGGCTATCTTTGCAACCTTTACCTTCACTTGATAGTAATCAGATTATTATTTTGTAAGTTATTTTCAGTGATGTCTGACTCTCTGTGACTCCATTTGGGGTTTTCTTCGCAAAGATACTAGAGTGGTTTGCCATTTCCTTCTCCATCTCATTTTACAGATGAAAAAGTGAGGCAAACAGTGACTTGCCTAGGGTCACACAACTAGTAGGTGTCTGAGGCTCAATTTGAATTCAGGTCTTCCTGACTTCAGTCCCAGTGCTCTAATCTGCTGTGCCACCTACCTACCCTGGTAATCAGATTGATTGCTGGGCTAAGTCTTGTGGTCCTGACTTATTTGGCTCTACCTTGGGCTTGGTAGCATTTTAAATAAATGGTAAAGATTTTAACAAATTTTTTAACCGTTTTAAACAAATGGTTAATGGTCCCAGTGGTAGGGCCCTTCTTACACTAGTTGTCAAACAGTTTGGTGATGCTCTAGGAAAGGAATGCAGCTTCCTAAGTGATAGGGGCCATTTAGACCCATGTAGAGGTATCTGCAGCTCCCATCAGGCACCAGCACAACATGACTCTTCACTTTCACCCTGCAATATCTAATCTGTTGCCAGGTCCTACTGATTCTGCCTTTGCAGCATCTCTCGTCTACACCCCTTTCTCTTTTCTGACACTCACCACCCTAGTACGGTCCCTCATCACCTCATGCCTGGACTATTAAAATAGCCTTCTGGCTGGTCTCCCTGCCTCTAGTGTCTCCTCCATCCACCCCATCCTTCATTCAGCTATCATAATGATCTTTCTAAAGCATAAGTCTAACCATGTGTCTCCTTCTCCCTATTCCTCCAATAAACTGCAGTGGCTCTATGTACATAGTTTATTATATGTTTTCTCCTCAGTTAAGATGTAAGGGCCTTGAGGGCAAAGATCCTCTTTTTCCTTCCTTTGTATCTTCAGAACCTAGTATCATGTTTGCCCAATTTGTTGTTGTTCGGTCGTTTTCAGTAGTGTCTGACTCTTAGTGACCCCATTTGGGGTTTTCTTGGCAGAGTTACTGGTGATTTGCCATTTCCTTCTCCAGCTCATTTTACAGATGAGGAAACTGAGGCAAACTGGGTTAAGTGACTTGCCCAGGATCACACAGCTAGGAAAGATCTGAGGCTGAATTTGAACTCAGGTCTTCTTGATTCCAGGACCAGCACTCTATCCACTATGCCACCTAACTGCCCTTTTACTCCATAGAAAGTGCTTAATAAGTTCTTGTAGACTGACTGACCAAACACATGCCCCATATACAGCTTCTGATTTCCATGGTCTCAGGTTTGCTTACTGGTGTGCTTGTTAGAACAGAGTAGAGAAAAGTCCATGAGCTAGAGCCCTATTTGATGATTACAAGACTGCTTAGGGCTTCCAGGCTGCTAGAAGGTGGAGACTGAGTCTCTGTCATTGTCTTAAACTATTACTGTGTTAAAGAGACTAAGCACTTAATGATGATTTTTTTTTTCTGATGAAGGTGATCCCAAGGGGGAAGTTGGACAAGCCTCTGTACACAGCAGACACTAAATAAATACTGATTGACTGACCCAGTGATATGGAGTCAGATGAAACCTGGGGTTTGGGCCTATATGTCCTTCATTTTCTAATTTCTGCCACTGTAGCTAACCAAGTTTTGAGACATGAACTCTGAGGAGTAAGGCAGCTTATCTCTGCCCTGTTTTTTAGAGAACTTGCTTAATCTCTGTGGGATTCATTTGAGAACAATATAGATCAGACCTTGGTGATGAATGGTTTATTACTTAGCCTGGCAGATAAGGCCCCAAATCTGTAGCCTGGAAAATTTTCATCAACTGAACCCATGATTCCATTTTTACTCCTTCCTGCTGAAGGGTACAGTGGGGGAAACATTTTGCTTGAGAGCCCAGAGACCTAGGCCTCATATGCCTTTAACTGTGCCAGTTTGGGCAAGACAATTGACCTTGGTGGGTCCCAAGTTTCCTCTTTTGTGAAATAGTCATAGGCTCTAGCTACAGGGGATGGAGTCAGGACCCCTGGGCTCTCTGCCTTATAGATAGCAGTGTGACTGTCAGCAAGTTCCTTGCCTGCTCTGAGCCTCAGTTTCCTTATCTATAACAGGGGGATGCTATTACTTATATTGCCTATCTCACAGTGCTGTTTAAGTGCTCTTATAAACCTTAAAGCATTATAGATACCTGAATGCCTCTGTTTACAGAATTGAAGCAGCTTAATGGACCAAGATTGTCTCCAAGGTCTCCTGTATCTGTGATAATGCTCATACCTGTTCTATCCTCTTTCTTCTAAATGGACTAAGAAAACATCAGCATCTTCCTGTAGCAAACACATTCTGAGTACTTAAACAAAAACTTATCTTGGAAATTGGAAATATCCTGCCCCCTTCCCCTTTTCCTCCCTTCCCTCTTCCTCTACCCTTCGCCATAACCCTTTTTCTGCCCCTCTCTTTTATCCAGCATGGTAGTGGAAAGAGTTCTGGATCTGGAGTCAAAGGTGGTTGTATTCAAACCCCAACTCTGCTTCTTATTACCTCTGTCGCTTGGGCCTCAGTTTCCTCATTTGCAAAATGAAGGGTTTGGACTAGATGAGATTTAACGTTCCTTCCAGCCTTAAACCTGTTGTCTCCTTCTCTTTCTTCCTCATAAATAACTTGGAAGGATAGACATAGGAAGGATGTTTATTTGGCCACTTTTCAAGAAATTCTATAGAGGCATTGATGACTTTGCGCTTGTGATTACATCGTGGGCAATAAAATGCTTTATTTGCACATAAAGTGCCTTTCACAGAGCTCTTGCTATCTACAATATCAAATGCAGTAAAGTATTTTATATTCTTCACTACTGTTACTGCTTTCTCCTGAAAAGGAGATGTGTGAACATCTCCATACTCTGTGTTTTATCAGAAGCCCATTTGACTAATGTACTTTTCAGTGTGGATAATTGCACTGCAAATACATAGGAAAAAGGGAGATTGATCATGTAGGTGGCAAGCCAATCACATGCATTATTTGTAAATAGTTTTCATTTTTGTCTAATGAGACAGCCTCCGGGTGAAAACACCAACTCTTCCTGCAGGGCTTTGAGCTTACAGCCTGTGCAGCTCTGGGAGGGCCTGCCTTAGAGCCAGAATCAAGGAGAAGAACCCCACCTACCTTCTGGCCCACCTACTCAAAGTCTTCACCAGCTCTTGCTTAGGTTGCTAGGCCAGCTGCTTTTCTCCAGCAGTTACTCCTAGGGACATCAAGGCACCACTGGAAGCAGCATTAAAGCTTTCAAGACCGTGAGAAAATCTTTTCTGAGCCATTGCATCACCATAGGAAACTCCAGTGGAACCAGGGAGGGAGACAGTAGCTAAGTCCAGGAGAGACTCTGGCTCATTGGAGGATGTGGACTGTGCTTGAATCAAAATGAGACCCCAGAAGAGGGCTTTCAGAAGGGCTGCCATACCTTTCCACTTAAAAGGGGGAAAGAACAGGTTTTCTTGACAGTAGCAGTTGAAACAAACCATGTAAGAAAGATGCTTCAGGAAAACTTGAAAAAGAAAGTCATGCTGTCTCAGGGGTTCCTGGGTTCTTATCTGACAGGAAATACTTTTCAGACCTAAACATAAGCATCTCAGGGCTTTGCTTGTAGTATCACCAGCTGCCTGTCTGTATCAAATATCCTTTTAGATCTATCCTTTTTTTCTTATTCTCACTTTTCAAATGTCATCCTGTCTAGGACCCAAGATAAATCACCTTAAAATCCTTTCTCTTCTCTTTAAATGCTATCCATGCATTCATCTCATCCAACCTGTACACATCCCTGATAAGTATTCACCCAGTTTCTTCCTAAGACCTTCAGGGTTGGGGAACTTCCCCTCCAGGCAGCCCATTCCCTTTGAGCATCTCAAATTGCTAGGAATTTTTTCCTCACACAGGACTGAAATTTGCCTCTCTGTTAATTTACACCCACTGTTCCAACCACAGAGGGTGATCTACTCTCTAGGGCCAGATGGAACGAGCGTACTCCTCCATTTGCCTGGTAGCCCTTCAAAAGCTGAAGAAAAATATCAAACACATCCCCTCTGTCTTTTCTTCAGGCTAAACATGATGCAGCATTAAAGCAGTCAGGTGGCACAGATAGCATGCTGGACATGGAGTCAGGAGGACCAAAGTTCAAATCCAGCCTCAGACACTTACTTAACTGTGTGTCCCAGGGCAAATCACTTAAGCTTTCTCAGCCTCAGTTTCCTCATCTGTAAAATGGAGATGATACTAACCCCTACCTCACAGGGTTGGTGAGATTAACATATGTAAAGGGCTTTGAAAACCATAAAGTGCTACAAAAATATTAAGTTGTTATTATTAACAATGTTCAGTGTCACAGTGTGCAAGTAAGGGACAGGCTCACAGTATTTCTGTCCTGTCTAGTTTCTGCATCAGGTGTCAGACATCACTCAGAACACAAGGATTCAAACAAATAATCACATCTATATCTGTATCCAGGTAGATATATAGCTATATCTAGGTATGTATGAATATATATATGTATGTGTGTGTGTCTATTTGTAGGTATAGATATATGTAAGTAGGTATGTATATGTGTGTCAGTATATACACATGTTTTTTAATATATGTGTATATACACACATACATATATACATACATATACATATACTTATATTCCAGTAACCCCAGTTAGAAGCCATTCTCAAGGTGACTAAAAGCAGTTCAGGAGGATAAAAGCCACCTATAGGAAGGCTAAAAGTAATAGTAAGGAGGTTCCCTGGGATCTTAGGAGCTCCCAAACTCCTAAAAACTTCTTTTATATCCTTCTCACCCGATGGACCCACAGTTGGGTCCTAGATCAATCCAGCTCAGGGCTAAGTTAATCCAAACTGGCCCAGCTGAGCACTTCAACTTTCTCGCTCACAATATTCCCAGCTGG